AGGACGATTTCCTAGAGGACTTTGAGATGTCGGAGGATGAAGAGGAGATTCAGGACAAGCCGGCCTTCCCAGGCCTGTTTAAGCCTTCCTTGTTTCGCTCTTTGCTTCGCAAAGCAAAAGCAGCAACTAACATGGATTCCACCCCTCTTCAGGGTTCTTCTTCATCTGCTCCAGCAGGCCCTAACAGTCATTTGTTTAATCTGCCTCAACCTGATGAGGACTTTGTTCCGTGCCCTGACCTTTCCTGCCAGGTCATCCAGAAGCCTTGGGACCGCCCCGCTTCATTATCTGGTCCGAATTCGTTTGATCGAAAGCTTTATGCCTCGGCTCCGGCTCTGGATGCACTCCTGCAGTTACCTACGATTGATGATCCGGTGGCTAGCCTTACATCTTCTTCCATCCTGGTAGGTGAGCTGGGGGATGGCCTCAAGTTTGAGGACAAATGGGCCGAGATGGGCTTTCATAAGACGCATCAAGCGGCGGCTTGGGCCATTCGGGCCGCAACCTCTTCTTCCTTCTTTAATCGGGCATCGCTGGTGTGGTTGCGTCAATTGAAGGAACGGCTTCCTCCTGAAGATGCGCGATTGCAACAAGACCTAGCAAAACTTATTGCAGCCGCTGAATATTCGGCGGACGCATCTTTGGACGCGGCTAAGTTCGCTTCCCGTGCTTTGGCATCAACGGTGTCTTCAAGACGTCTCTTGTGGCTCCGTAATTGGAGAGCTGACGCCAAGTCCAAGTGGCGCTTGACTGCTGCTCCTTACAGGGGCCCTGCCTTGTTCGGATCATCCCTGGATCCCGTCCTGGTGGAGAACAGAGACAAGAAGAAGGTGTTGCCTACTTCTTTTCGCCGCCAGGACAGACGCTACGTACCGTATAACCGACAGCCCTTTCGGCAGGACCAAGGCGCCGGTGGCGCCTCTTATTACCGGCCCTCGCAGTTCCAGTACCAGCCAACTTCAGACAGGACGTCCTTTCGTGACCGTGGTCGCCGACAGTCCAACTTTAGACAACCCTTCAAGCAATCTGCTGGCCGTTTCGCCAGGCGTGGGAAGTGACTCACCGTTCCCGGTTCCGATCGGTGGCAAGCTCCAGGCCTTCTCTCACCTGTGGCCAGCTACTACCTCGGATGCCTGGATTGTCCAAGCTGTCACCGAGGGATTACGTTTGGAATTCGCCACAATGCCACAGGACTTTTATGTTCACTGCCCTTGGCCGGTTCAGCCGGAGAAGCGATCTCTGCTGTCGCTCGAGATTTGCCATCTGTTGCAGATTCAGGCCATAGAACAAGTTCCATCGGACCAACTCAGAACCGGCTTTTATTCAACGCTATTCCTGGTTCCGAAGAGCTCGGGCGATTGGAGAGGCATATTGAACCTACGACGTCTCAATCATCACATCGTATACCGTCGGTTCAAAATGCATTTCCTCAAGTCTCTGCTCGGCTGCATCCGACGGGGGGATCTAATGCAATCTGTAGATCTAAAGGAAGCGTACCTGCACGTTCCTATTCACCAGTAACACAGAAAGTACCTCAGGTTTGCCTTTGGAGACCACCACTTCCAATATCGGGCTATGCCATTTGGCCTTTCCTCCGCTCCGAGGACATTTACAAAGTTGCTAGCGGCAGTGGCGGCGTCGCTCAGAGAGGTTCCTGTTCGTCTGGCATGCTACCTCGACGACATTTTGATCCTGTCGTCTTCCCTAGAGCAAGCGACCCACGACCGGGAGTTAGTACTTCAGACCCTTCAAGACCACGGGTTCACTTTGAATCTTGCCAAAAGCCATCTGGTTCCCACGTCTCGTATTCTGCATCTCGGAGCAACAATAGATTCGAGCCTGTGTGTGGTCTTCCTATCTCCAGACAGATCAGCATACGGAAACTGGTGTCTCAAGTCTTACTACACAGGACTGTGACCTTACTGACACTCTCCCAGCTCCTGGGAAAATTAATTTCATGCATAGACATTGTCCCGTGGGCGCGTTTCCATCTTCGTCGCCTTCAATGGTTCCTGCTCCCTTACCAGAGACAAGGTCGAGCAGAGTCCCTTCTCAAGGTAACAGTCCCAGCTCCTGTGCGCCTTTCCCTGAGGTGGTGGCTGTCTCCGGCCCTCGACAAGGGCTCCCCATTCCTGGAACCAGCTCGGATGGTGTTGACCACAGACGCAAGTCTGCGAGGCTGGGGGGCTCACCTCAACAGTCAGTTAGCCCAAGGTGTCTGGTCGTCGACGGAACTGTTTCACAATATAAATTGGCTCGAGCTCAGAGCGGTCCGTCTCGCCCTGATACACTTCAAACACCTCGTATATCGCCAGGACCTTCTGATTCTAACGGACAATGTGGCCACCAAGGCCCATATCAACAAACAAGGGGGGACCCGCTCCTGGACTCTAATGCAGGAGGCGGAGCGTCTTCTGTCGTGGGCGGAGCTACACCTCTCATCGATAAAAGCCGAACACATTTCGGGGACTCTCAATCGAGAAGCAGATTGGCTCAGCAGAGACCAAATAGATCACGCCGAGTGGAGGTTGGACCCCGGCCTGTTCAAGGACCTGTCCAGGAGGTTCGGCCTTCCCCTAGTGGACCTGTTTGCGACGGCTCAGAACGCCCAATTGCCGAGATTCTTCTCCCGCTACCCATCTCCAGCGGCGGAGGGTCTGGATGCTCTTCGGAGTCCGTGGCCCAGGGGGCTCCTCTATGCCTTCCCCCCCTTCCAATCCTCTCCAAAGTCATTCGGAAGGTTATTCAAGAGCAGGCGAATCTTCTGCTGGTAGCGCCATATTGGCCTCGTCGGGAGTGGTTCGCCGACTTCAAGAACTTGTCGGTCGAACCGCCCTGGAGGATTCCACCCGACAAGGTTGTGTTAACTCAAGGGGCCATCTGTCATCCGGAACCAGAGTGGCTTCGATTAGCCGTGTGGCATTTGAGCGCATAAAGCTCTTCAAGGACAACTTGTCTGAAGACGTCATCTCCATCATTCAGGCAGCTCGAAGACCATCAACAATTTGTATTTATAACGCCTCATGGGCTACCTTCACAAGATGGTGCGGAGATCATCACGTGGATCCCACAACAGCGTCAGTTCCGGACATTCTGCGTTTTCTGCATGCGGGGTTCTCCAAAGGCTTGGCCCCTGCGAGACTACGTCGACAGGTGGCGGCTCTGGCCACTGTCCTGTCTGGGGAGGCGCGAGTTCCTTTGTCTCAGGATCCCAGAATCCGTTCATTTCTCCAAGGGGTCTCAAACTTGCGGCCTCCGCCGATTCACCGCTACCCCACTTGGGACCTTACCTTGGTGTTGCAGGCCTTGACGGGTGCACCGTTCGAACCCATTGCTTCGTCCAGCCTACGCTACTTGTCTTTAAAGATGGCCTTTTTGTTGGCAATTACTTCGGCTCGCAGAGTATCTGAAATTGCAGCTTTGTCCATGAGAAGTGACCTCTGTGTCTTCTACCCTGATCGGGTTGTTCTACGCCTCGACCCTGCCTTCGTTCCCAAAGTGAACACTCGTTTTCATCGAGCCCAAGAACTGGTCTTACCTAACTTTTGCCCGAACCCGCGTCATCCTGCTGAGAGGCGATGGCATACCTTGGATGTGCGACGGGCTTTGAGAAGATATCTTAAAAGGACTGCCTCCTTTCGCAAGACTGAGGCTCTGCTGGTGTCCTTCCTTCCCTCCTCCCTGGGTCAGAAGGTTTCTTCTGCTACAGTGGGCAGGTGGCTCAAGGCCTGTATATCTAAGGCATATGAATTAAGGGAGGCCCCTGTCCCGGGTGGTATACTGCCCCATTCTACCCGTAGTGCTGCAACATCAGCGGCATGGGCTACCCAGGCTTCAGTAGATGATATCTGCCGGGCGGCCACATGGTCCTCCCTCTCTTCCTTTGTAAGTCACTATAGGCTGGATAAGTTTGCTTCTGCAGATGCTGCCTTTGGCAGAAGGGTATTACAGGCTGTAATCTCTCCACAAGGCCAGTCTACGGCTTAATTCCCTCCCTTTTCTTCTCTAACTTGGGTATGTCCCAGACTGAGGAGTGTCTGAACGGCGAGTAGGAAAATGGTCGTTGCTTACCTGAACGACCCTTTTATACTCGACGTTCAGACACTCTGTCCCTCCCTTTTTTTCGCCGCGTCTGGCCTTGGTGGAGGTCTGCTTTCTTTCCCTCTGTAGCTGTCTGCTTCCTGTGTCACTACCTGGCGGAGTTTTTCTTCATGGCTGTCCTAATGCTCTTGAACCAAGTTGTCTTCGTGAAAAGTCTGAGGAAGGAGCAGGAAGTGAGGTGGATCCAGCTCCAGAGGGATTTGATTGACACTCAGCTGTGCAAATAGGAGTGATTGTTACCCAGACTGAGGAGTGTCTGAACGTCGAGTATAAAAGGTCGTTCAGGTAAGCAACGACCATTTTCTTTTTCTTTTTATGGAAAGGGGAAGATCAGACCAGAAATGCATGTACTTTGTAATTTTTTTCCTTTCATGTATCTATTTGTACAGTAAAATTGTACTGAACAGGGAACAGTTTACCTATTGTATGAAAAGAGAGGAAATTCTATGTCTGCTGGGGAGAGGGAGGGAGAGAGATGCAAAGACACCTCTTGCTCTTAAAATAGCTTCTCTGTTTTGCCCTAATGCTTTCTATTTGGTAGCAGCTAATTAAAATGTAGAGCCCCATTCACATAATATTCTTTTCCAATGCAGTGATGTACTAAAGTTTTACTGAAAATGCCAGAATTAGGGTAGTTTCTTATTCATTGCTTAAGAAGGTTGCCTACACAAGTGCCATAGAAAGTCAAACACAGCAATATATTGATTTATCCTTTTAAAAGTACCTGTCATCAAGAAATCTTTTAGCTAGCATGACTTGTTTGGGAGCGGCTGCCCAGTCTTGAGAGAAGCGAAATAATAAATTGTTCTGTTTATAAAGGTGCAGGAATGCTTTTCTTGATAGGCAACAGACTCGAATAGCTGCTTAGAAGAACTTGCCAATGGTGTTTGTTTTTCTAGACATAAAGGATTGTGGTTGCTGGTTAATCTAACGAAGTGTCTACTACACCATGGTATGGATAATGAATGAAAAGAGGGTAACCAAGAAACTGAAAAAAGCAAAGAAGAGAACTACATCCAACAAGTATTTATTTTATACTTTTTAAAAAGTCCACACGATTTAGCAAGCTATTAATGTTCCACCTACCTAATATTTTGAGTTGTACATCTCTAATGTTTTGTTGCCTAATTGCCAGGAGGAAGTTATTTTCTTCATTTTATTTCACATTATGTAACTCTGCAGATTCTTAATTATAAACAAGGATACTATATTTAAAAATGCTTTGTTTGATTCATATGGCACCCAACTTTTTATATGCAGCAGGAATAGCCAATACTTCAGAACATAGGCTCAAGATTCAGAAGAATCTTAACAGACTTTAACATTTTGCGCTATCTAACAAAATGAAATTCTATGTAGAGAAAAGTAAAGTTTTGTTGAGACTCTAGAAAGAGTGCAGAGAAGAGCAACAAAGATGATTAGGGGACTGGAGGCTAAAAATATGAAGAATGGTGCAGGAATTGGGTATGTCTCATTTAATGAAAAGAAGGACTAGGGGTGACATGATAATAGTGTTCCACTATTTAAGGGGCTGCCAGAAAGAAGAGGGTGCCAACCTATTCTCCAAAGCACCTGTAGGCAGGATAAGAAGCAATGGATAGAAATTATCCAAGGAGAGAACGAATCTAGAACTAAGGAAAAATGTCCTGATAGTTAGAACAATTAATTGATGGAACAACTTGCCTGCAGAAATTGTGGGTGGGAAGTTGTGGTTTTTAAGAAGAGATTGGACAACCATTTTTCTGAAGTGGCATAGGGCTATAATGGCGAACCTATGGCACGTGTGCCACAGGTGGCACGCGTAGCTGAATCAGTGGGGACGTGAGCTCAGCTCCGGCGCGCAGGGGCCTTTTGGGCCCATCAGAAGTAGGGAAACACGCTGTTTCCTGTCTCCGGAGAGCCTCGGGTGGTGGTGGGGAAGGCCCATTTTTCTCTCTCACCTGGCTCCAGAGCCTCTCTAGGAGCATTCATGTTTTTGTTAAAAAGTTAGATCTGATGTTAAGAAGTCTATTACAACAGACACTTGCTCTGTCATTGTTAAGTAAAGAAATAAAATATCCCAGAGAAATTTGCATTTTACCCATATTTGGAGATGAATTATGATTTTAGAAAAACACGCAAAACAGGATTAATTCTATACAATTAATTGTATTTACAGAGCAGAACAGTTCTCATTTTACAACTATTAGTTTAGTGACTGTTTGAAGTTATAATGGCACTGAAAAAGTGACATGATTGTATTTCACATCTACAATTGTTGCAGCATTCCCATTAGGACGCTTGGCAACTAGCATGCATTTACGATAGTTGCAGCTTCCTGGGGTCATGTGACCACCTTTTGCGACCCTTTTACAAGCAAAGAAAATGGGGAAGCCAGATTCACTTAACTAAGTATTATTTACTTAATACTTAACTGTGGCAAGAAAGGTAATAAAATTCACTTAACTGTCTTGCTTAGCAATAGAAATTTTGGGCACAAATTTTGATTGTAAGTTGAGGACTACTTGTATGCAACAATTGAAGGCTACAAAATATATGTTTCTGCCAATGATGAAGATCTGAGCAACTGCAAACTGTGATGGAAAATTTTGGTTGACTAAAAGATAAAAGGAAAGCCAGTTGGATGATGTAGTTTGACACACCAAGGTAGAAACCATGAGACTGAGTTCTAATTCTGCCTTAGGGACAAAGCCAGCTTCATGATTTTATTGACTTGTTAAATTTATCTGCCACCTATCTTGCTGCGGGGGTACACTAAGTGGCTTATAATAATAAACATATGGAAATGAAAAGAAGTGTAAACATAACTATAGTAAAGTAATGGAACAACAGAATAAACAATGAAAATGAAAACAATGATACAGTGATATAAGAATAAAAAGTGGGTGGGGAAGCAGGAAGAGCCATTAATCTAGTAACCACTCCAGTGTGGTACTCTCCCACTGAGTCCCATTTTGGGACCATTGGCCCTCTCCCAGCCCTAAGAAGAAGGCAGTGGCAAACCACCTCCAAAAATGGTGCCAAGAAAACCGCAGATACTTGTCCAGGCAGTCACCACAATCCAAGATTGATTCAAAGGTACACACACAAACATTGGTAGTGCTACAGCTGCAATAAAGGTTCTTGGCACTTCTCAGAAGCACAGACCATGTGGCATTTTCCACAAAGGCAAAAAGATGAAAATAATTTTCTACTGCTATGTTCTTATCTGGAACACTACTTGGTTATTGAAAGGAAAATCAGTTTGAAAACAAATCCAGCAAATGGTTGCAATTGCTCTTCTTAAAAGGTTCCTAATAATGCAAGTGTTGAATAACTTAATAAAATATATCTCCACATTTTTTCCAGATATTAAGTTGCATAATTTTTCTTCCATTTTCTCCTAATTATCTAACTCTTTGGATATATTCACTTTATGTAGTTTTTACTTCTAGAAATGGAAAATTACTTAAAAATGAAAAATACTGCTCAATCACATACATGAGCTGATATACCTTCCAATTTTTTTTATTTCAATCAGGACTGTTGTATACATTTCTAAGACCCCCATTAAGACCCCCAGAAATCACAAAACATTTTAAGTTCCAGGAAACAATTTACAAAATATTTTACGTTCCAGGAAACAATTATATTTGCGTTTCTGCTTTCTTTCTCTCTCGTTTTACGGGTGCCAATCACAATAACATTAAAGTGCCAAGCAAGTACATTTCTTGTTTAACTTCTGATACTAAATTATTTCCATTGATGCCAAGTTAAAGTTGCACTATTCACATAATCTGATTGCGATAATGTCAAGAACTCTTTTCTACACATAACAAGATTGTGTTCAGTGTTAACAATTGTTTTATATATTATAATCAGATATAAAGAATCATAAATTCTTTCAATTTATGAAAGAAGGGATAAATAATATTTTAAACATTTTTTGCCTATCACAAAAGATATATAAAAATTCCTTAGGCTCAATATGAGAGGCATTTCCTTGTCCTTTCAAAAACGAAAGCAAGTAAAACTGCAACTGAGATTAGCATTTAGTTATTTATTAACATTACAGTTTTGTGAATATTTACTAAACATAAAATGACAGTATGGAGTAGACCCTTCCAGTAAGAATTTTGCTAAAGGAATCAGAAGTTCACTGAACAGCCACAGAATGTTCCTAATTAAAAATCAAAGCACATATCATCTCTACAATACAATATACGCTTTCAAAAATATGTGATAAGAGTAGCCAGTTACACCACGTCTATACCTTTGGAGCTGTTTCTTGTTTCTAGACTTTTGAATTTATTTCCTAAATTGGACTATGAATGGGTTATGCCTTTGAAACAAATGCATGTTTGTTTATTAAAAACAGAAAAGCCTCAACTACTACCTGCTTTCCTCACATAACAGAACTGGGAAGTGGATGGGAGGGGAGAGAGGAGGGGAAGGAAGGGAAGTTAATTACCCAGTCCTTCTGAGCCATGAGTCCTAGTTAAAATTATATAAGCCTGTAATCTTACAACCTTTCTTTCCCATTTCTCATTCTTTTCTAAACAATATCTCAGGGCCAACACCAGCACACAAGATGCATACCAATCATATCCAGGTCTTTTTCTTCCATTCATTTTTGCCAAAAAGGGTAAGAATTGATCCTGGAGTAGGATCTCTCCTACTCAGTGGTGGAATTCAATTTTTTTTACTACTGGTTCTGTGGACGTGGCTTGGTGGACATGGTATGGCTTGGTGGGTGTTGCAGGGGAAGGATACTGCAAAATCCTCATTCCTATCCCACTCCAGGGGAAAGATATTGCAAAATCTCCATTCCCACCCCACTCTGGGGCCAGCCAGAGGTATTATTTGACAGTTCTCTGAACTACTCAAAATTTCCGCTACCGGTTCTACAGAACCTGTCAGAACCTGCTGAATAGCACACCTGCTCCTACTGTCTCATCTGTTTGTTCAAACCATGAACCCAAAAGAGAAGCATTCACTAATTTAAGAGAAAATGTATAGTATCTACCAGTGATGGCGAACCTTTTTGGCACCGAGTGTCCAAACCGGAACACCTGTGCGTATGCATGTGCCGGAGCACCGGAAACCCGAAGACCAGCTGGCGACGGCATGTGTGCCCATAGAGAGAGCTCTGCGTGCGACCTCTGGCACACATGCCATAGGTTCGCCATCACGAGTATATACTGTTCTGAGAACTCGTTTTGGCAGGAGATTGAAATAATAGGCTTTAGCATCTAACTACTGTACCCCTCCTTATAATAAGCAGTCCTGAAATGAAATTTGGATGCACTCTTCTTGGAACATACATGGAATTTTGTATTCTTTTTTCAGAGGTTGTCTGTTTGTCAAAAAACATAAATTAGAGATACAAAAAAGAAGGTGAAGCATTAATTCTACCTCTGAAGAATTAAAGGTTGCTTATGGCCTAGTCTCCATTCTGGAGTTCAAAATACACTGAGATAAAAGTGCTTATTGAAATAGGCATTGTTTTGAATCAATCAATCACTCTGTCTCTGTCTCTCTGTCTATTTTCTATACTGCTCATCTCATCTAAGTGACTCTGGGTTGTTTAAAAACAGCATCATAGAAACAATATAAAAACAAGACTAAAACACAATTAAAAACTAAGTTAAAAGTTAAAAAAAAATCAGTTAAGAAATTAACAAGGCTAAAAATCTTGTTCAAATTATGAAGAACATAAGCAACAACAGCATATTAGAAGGGGAGGGGAATACAGAGTATACTGTACATCTCAGCTGACAGCATCATCTGCCTGACCTTATCTAAACTCAGAAATAAGCATGGTTGGGCCTGGTTCATACTTCGATGAAAGATCTCCAGGGAACATCAACACAGAAGAAGGGATTATTAGAGAATTTATGTCACTACATGGCAGCATCTTTGTCAACCCAGAAAATAAACAGGGTCTAACTTAGTATTTCAATAAGGGATCCTAAAGGAAAGCCAGAATTTTACGTTGCAGTATACTGAGAAGTTAAGACAGCAATGACAAACTGTTCTACATT